TGCAGTGACTGACTCTTGTATTTATTCACGTTTATGCTTTAATTCTTACCCCTCACACTCCCAGTGTATCCACCCCACGGCCGGCGCTCGGGAGGAGCTGTGGGAGCCCCAGTGAGCGCCTGGACTCTGCGCCCACCCAGCCCAGCCGGAGGGCCACTGGCCACCCGGCGTACTCAGCACGGTCTCCAGACGGGGATGCAGAGCCCCCTGGCGTGAGGGTCGGCCTTTGAGTGCTGTGGCCTGGTCCAGGTCTTGCCCTCTCATGTTTAGGGAAACGTTCAAAATAAAAAATGTCAAAAAGTTAAAGGCATCAATATTATTTAAAGAGATATTTTGGAACTCGATTCGTCCACAAACGATACCTCCCCCACGCTAGCCTAAGAACCGAACACTCGGCATTTCTGTGGCTTTATTTTGTGTGTCCCTCCTCCAGTCACTTCAGGCCGGCACAGAGGTTCTTGAAAATAACCGTGGTGTAGAACCGGGTTGCCCATCTCCGTGCTGCAAGGCTGAGGAGGGCACTGGAGAGCACCCTCATTCTGGTCTCTCAGCTGAGGGCCGCCCCATGGTGCCAGGACCCCCAACCCACAGAGATCGAGGCACCGACCTGCCGGCGGGCACTGTGAGCCTGGGCACTGTGAGCCTGACTGGGGAGAAGGGGGCTGCAGTTGGCTGAGACTCTGTCAAAGCACTCGTCTTTCCCTCTTTCTCTGTCTCTCACTCTTGTGAGACAAATAAATACATTAAGAAGCTGAATTTATCCTTTGGCCTCGCGGCCCTGAGAGCTTCCAGTCGCCAAACAGTCTCCTGGTGTCCAGCTCGTTAATGGCGTGGCCGCGGAAGCCGCTCTTGGAGTGGGTTCCTGGGACCCGCCTCGCAGTGGGCACCTCCATTCCCGGTGTCTGCCGCCCTCCGAGGGCTGCGGTGGGGGAGGACCTTTCTCGGCCAGAGACGCCCACCGTCCGGCTCCCCACAGGGCGCAGGCATGGTGAGTGGGAAGGGCCAAAGGGGTGCTTACTTTCCCTTGAGACTCATTTTAAAGCAAAGGGGGAGAAAATCCTCTTCCCGACTACCAGTAACACAGGCCGGATGTCAGGGGCCACGGTTAGGGGAAAGCGAAGCGAGTGGCCCCCTTCCCCAGCAGACAATGGTGCAGAGTATAAACGGCCAAGACGAAATAGCACCTCGAAGCCCAGCAGACAGGCGCACTGCGGAGCGTCCTCCATGGCGCGAGTCGGGAGTGTCAGAAACCCACAGATGCGGGGGCTCGCTGGCCGAGCTGGCCCGAGGGGGCAGCTTCCCGGGCAGCTGCTGCTGTCCACAGAGGTCCCAGCAGCAGGTGTCATTGCAGGAGAGACCCGTCCCCTGGGAGAGGGCAGAGTGCCCACCGGGTTGCCCAGCCACTATAGCGACATGACCCTCCCCTCTCCCAGGCTCTCGGGTGGCCTGCAGGTGTGTTCTGGGAGAGCAGATGAACTCTCCAGTCAGCAGGCTCTGTGGTGTGAAGGGTCGGCCCCTCCATACGTGTCTGTGGCCGCACATCAAGGGGAAGAGGTGGAGGTGGGGTGGGAGCAGCGGGCACGGGCCCCACCTGTCCCCCGCCTGGGCGGGCCTTGAGGGGGGCAGGTGAGAG